AGGGACACCCGCCTTCCCACTATGTCTCCAGGTGCCAGAAGCATCAGCCACACACACCAGGCTGTTGGCTCAGCTATTGCACCAGAACTTCTGGTGTATAAATTCCCTGCTGGGTACCACTGAACCAATACACAATCGACTGGTTTCACAGAACTCTTCATTCTCCCTCTTCAACTCCTCTTCTCCGCCCCTCACTTACAGAAAAGCTGAAGCAATCTCTATAAACACAAACACACTCTCCCCCTATCGAAATAAGCTTCTGTTAACACAACTTTCAAGTCAAATCCATTGCTGAGGTAAAAAGCAAAAATACTGTGGCAAAACAGGTCAACCAGTACGACAGCAGGTGGAGCATATGCATTTTCAGTATCTGATTCCCAAGTAACGAAAGAATTTTTTCAAGCTTTTATTTTCATCTTCATCTCCCAAAGGGTATTCATTATGAACCAACAGAAAAAAGGAAAGGGGCAAAAAAAATTCTTCACAGATAATATTTCAGAATTAAGAATTCATAGCAAACATTTAAGAATGGTGAAGACAATATGACAAGGGAGCATACAACCAAAAGAAGTTTATTGTGTAATGGTACAGGGCTTCATGAACACTGTACCAGGAAAAGTAAATTTTATCAGTTAAGAGAAGATGAAGCAATATAGGAAGCAATTGATAGGACGAGAGAAAATGGCCTCAAGTTGCATCAGGGGAAGTTTAGATTGGAGATCAGGAAAAATTTCTTTACTGAAAGAGTGGAACAGGCTGCCCATGGGAGTGGTTGAGTCACCATCCCTAGAGATATTCAAAATGTGTAGGTATTGCACTTTGGGACACGGTTTAGCAGGCATGGTGGTGTTGGGTTGACGGTTGGACTTGATGATCTTAGAGGTCTTTTCCAACCTTAATAATTCTATGATTCTGTAATATAAGCAAAGCTACACTAGTGTTGCTAAATATGGAGTATAGCTAGGAAAAACTCCACTGACTCCTGTTTTAAATGTCTTCTCATTCGTCCCTCTTTACTGTTACATCTGCAGAAATTATACACCTAGTAAATATTTAGTCTAATTATTCACAGGTTTAATTATCCTTCTATTTTCAGGCTATTCACTTAACTAATTTTTCTTGACAATTACAGAAAAGAACACTTTCTCTTTTAAATTCCCTTTTCTTAATTTTCAAGGGAGAAGCAGCAAGGGGAGGGGAGTGAAAGACAAAACCACCTTTTTCTTCATGTCGTATGTTCTACACATAACTGTTTTGAGAAAGCCAGTGGATATCATTAACTGACTCTGCATACCCACTGAGTATCTTCTGCGCTTCGCTCACCTCCTTAACAGAAATGTAGGAGCATCATGTTTTGCATCCTTGTCAACTGTTGCTAGACTTAAAGGTGGAGATCCTTTACTTCTGCTTGAACGATTGAACCAGGGCAGAAAAAAATTGAGGGTAGGGAAGCAAAAGTCTCAGGGCATACATATTTTAATAGCTTTTGGTACTGCTGCTACTACTGAGAGTAGACCTTGACCTTACGTGTCACACGGAAAACGCAGCATTGGGAATCAAAAGGCTAAAACTCTCAATTTTCGTAACCATATTGCAGTGGAGGTAGGCAATAAAACATACACTGGGCTAAGCAGCTTCCAGCCATACTCTATTGTGGACTGTTCCAGCTGAGTTAGTATACTCCATATAGCCGATAAGCATTATATGTTTTGCTGTCAGAAGAGTGTAAGGAGGCAAATTCATTCTTCAGTGAAGCAGCAAACATTTTGTTGATGTTGGGCGATTATTAAATATTTAGTATTTTAACACATTTTATTTGCATTGCTAAAATAGCTGGCAAACAGATTCCTATTGGCTGCAAAGCAAAAGTAATGTATAAAACGTGAAATAATTGCTCTTCAAAAGGCATTTCCACTTACATGTTCCAAAACTTAACACTGAACAGAATACCAGATCCAAAAGAATTTAGGAGAAGAAATGCTTTCTCTTCACTAACTTTTTTCAAAGTTATGTCATGTCAGGGAACTCATGTTGACAGTACAGGAATAAAAAAACTATAATTGACAGATACAAAGAAGTATCCTTTAAATAGAGAAGTGGGTTGTCCTGCAAGAAAAAGTGCTGCAACAGATAAAAACAGATGGCAGTTTGGGATACTAACATAACTAAGGTTCACAAGTAAGAGTTAAAGAATTTATTTCCATACAGAATTCATTATCATTTTGTAAAGGTGCATATGTCAGCCTAGATTCACTAAAGGAAAATAGACAGGTACAACCAAAGAAACAGCAATTAGCTTTAAGACATTTTTCTAGTTCTGTTATACCAATTCTTTATATAAGTAGCCATTAAACTAAACAAAGCAAACACCTCTCTCTACAGGTATTTCAGGTATTAAAGGCTGTATTGCAGTACACACTTCACAATTCAGAACTGTGGGATCGCACAGATAAGCAAAAAATTAGAATATTCTCATCTGCCATTTTTAATTGGTACTAAAGCACAAATCAAAACAGGACCCTACCCTAACCTGACTAGATATGTAATTCTTGTTCCACAAACAATAACAAAACTGACAACCAAATCAAAGAACAGTAGCATTTCCATCAGCAGCTCCACATAATGCAGAAGGTTTGCTAAAACCAACTGTGACGCGAGAGTCAAAGGCTTTGCCTAATTCAGAAGTTTGCTTTCACATAAGCGTTGGAGGACAATGGTTAGTGACTCGGTAGATATTGCTTAGGTATCACTTCACTACTGAAATATTTGAGATTTTATACTAACTTATGATATAAAATAAAAGCTCTCAATTAAAACCCACAAAACTTAAGACCTTTCAGAGCGCATTCACTCTTTTTCTCTGAAACAAAAGGGCTTCTTTCACAAATCATGAACACAAGAATTGCAAATATAAGCTTCCTTTTCTTATTTGGCTATAAAGTTTGCACAGGCAAATCTCCAAACTACACGGGATTTCAGAGACCAGCACTGATACCTTCTTAAAACAAAGAAAATGTTGACATAATAAAGACTTCCTGGAGTACCTCCCTATATTCAAAGGTCTATTATCCAGTTCTTGTGCATGCCACTTCTTCAAAAAAATACAGTCTGAACTGCCAAAACCTGAAAGAATAATTCTGTGGAAAAGCACAGTTTAAGAACTAACAAATTAAAAAAAGCAACACCGCACAACACAGCCACCCCCCAGCTTTTCCAATCATTTTTTCCTCATCAGTTCAATACTGGAAGAGAGGGCAAAAAGTCATTCCTTTTTTCCCAGGAAACAAACTTTCTCTACATTATGCAGCTAGCTATTTAAATGCTATTCTGAATATGAAGAATTCTATGTCAATATTGGACATTAAAGCACTATGCTGAATCTTCATGGGAAAACTTCTCCTTCTGAGGAGAGAGGGGGATGATGAACAGCGATTACATTGTTTCATGGTTTTAACAGAATGCCAAGATTTATTCAAACACAAGGAAACCTCTGAAAAGCAACCACCAGACAGACACGTGAAGACACTAATTCATGCCCTGAAACAATCTGAACTGGACTTGAGCACGCCAGCTGGTGCTTTGAAGTGGTTCAATACTTTGCTTCCTTTAGTATACTGACCTGAGTATAAAGATTCAAAGATACTGGTTAATAAAAGTGTAAAAAAAGAAAACAAGAATTGTTTATTCAGGACTGTGTTCAGTTTAACATGTATAAATTCTGCTTTGTACAACAACTTTTGCTGAAAAAGAGCTTCTTAAAATATAAGTAGCTTTCCAATACTCAGTAGCAAGTGCTTCTAGTCCTCAACTCTCTTACCACAGAATCACAGAATGGTAGGGGTTGGAAGGGACCTCTGTGGGTCATCTAGTCCAAACCCCCTGCCGAGGCAGGGTCACCTACAGCAGGGTGGCCAGGACC